GCCTTTAATTTATTCACAACTGTATAGTCTCCTTTGCAGAATTACAATATATATATATATATATATATATATACATATATATATATATATATAAAGGCCTTTTTCTTTTACTGAAATTAGAGAAAAATACATCGAACACTCCTCTTGAGTGTCTAAGTGCTTTTCTTGCAACTGACTCATAGCTCACCCCACCATCCTTTCCCTACCATTAACTGTTCTGGTCAAGACAATACGTTTGAATTAGACCATGTTTTCACTTCACTTTCCATGTCAGTGACTCATCTTAAAATGAAACTGATTGACGAGATCAAGCAAAAGGTTTTAAATGTTTGGTGACGCAAAACACACGGCTACGTTTCCATGAAAGCACTTAAAGTTACGACAAGTTTGGTTCTATCAAGATGCGAAATGTTTGGTGAGCAGCATTAAAGAAAATCATTGTTTTCTCCATTGTGTTGCTTTTCTCTGCCACATACACAAAGACACACATTACATTTTTACTTGAGTAGTCTCTGCTTTTGTAAAATGTTGTCAAGTGGTTTAAAAACTCTTAATAATAGATCTATTTAGCTCATGTTTGACAAAAAAATCTGTATCACTCAAATTTTAGACAAGTTTTCCAGCTGCAGCATTTAGTGTGTCATTATGTAAATAATGTCTTCATACAACAGCATAACATTAAAGCCAAGTATTTCTTTCATAAGACTGGTGTAATGCATTTCTCTGTTCTGGTGACCTCGCCTTAATTGGTTATGGAACATCATCCTTTAGCTGACGCTCTCACGTACACGCAAAAACAAAACACGGCTGTGACGCACACTTGTTTCATGTGCGGGACCATTCTCACCCCCGCCATACTGCCCTAGAAGTTCTGGGAGAGAGAAAGAGAGAGGGAGCACATGCCGGGCTGAACAAGTTGGTGTAACAACATGGTGTAAAAATACATCTTGCTTTGGTAAGATGATACTTTTCTCTCCATGACTACACGACTCCATGGGGCCACGTCCCAATGACATGCTCGTGGTGGAGCAACTCGTCTGCCAAATGCTTTTAAAAAATAGTTTTAAGGTTTGTAATGCTGCAAAAATACTTTACAATTGTGTTTTTGTGTAACAAATAAAACTATCCAACCAACAGAACGAAGAAATTGGAATATGGACCTTAGGTTGACTAACATCTTCCTCTCACCCTCTGCTCTATGGGCTCTAGGGGACTGTCCAGAACAGAGCTAGCCCTCTTTACTAGTCTATTAAACCATTTCCTATCCCTCTCTGTGGTTCCACCTCCCCAGCAGAGAACCGTATAAAAGATAGCAGAAGCCATCACAGTGTCATAAAAGGTCCTTTGTAATGTTCTGCACATCCTAAAAGACTTCAGCCTGCCCAGCAAATGGAGCTGACTTTGGCCCTTCTTGTTTTGACCAGTCCAGTTTATTGTTAAGGTGAACACCCAGAAATGTGTACGTCGGTCCACTTGGTACCGATCAAGCCTGCCGCCATCGTGAAATGCAGAGTTTTGGACCCAAATACAGATGGATGGAAACTAAACCAAAAACAAAACAAACTCCGAGGAATTGGTGCCTAACTCCGTTAGGAGAATAAACTAAATCCACAACTGGCTGGAGAAATGTGGGGAAGTTAAGAGACGCACAAAGAAGGGCAACCTGGGAAAGCCAGGCCAGGATCATGACAGCCACAGCACCCTGTGAATCTATGGCAGAAAAACGCATACACCAACGCATATCCTTTAACAGTTACATTATAACAAGTTCAGATTTATTAAATCAATAATTTTTCCATCTATACAATTCAGGGGAGGTAAAACTTATTCCAACTGCCAATGGACAAAAGGCAAGGCGCATGCTGGCATATTCTCAACAACACATTCACACCTACAGCCTAACTCCATGCATGTGTTTGGACTGTGATTTCATTTTCTAAATCTAAAATGTCACCACAAAATACCAAATCCGGCCTCAGATCTTTTTTCTAAAGTAAAATAACAGAAGATCCCAACAAAAGAATGAAAATTTAAGTAAAAACAAACGCAGCGAAGACAAACAGATACACACTAAATGTCCATTAATATTCCCTGTGTTGCTTGGTAGATTTTCAAAGCCCCCGACAGGAAAGCAACAGCTGTGAGGACGCGAGCGTTACATAATGGCACAAATGAGTAAAATGATATGACACGGTTTCAATGGTTTGTGTCCTCATCCAGTCATTCAGGAAACGTGTCACTGATTTGCATGCACAACAAACAATTATGACGCAGCGCTTTGTCAAAGCTGTTGTTGTTGTTTTAGAGTTTGAAAGGATTAAACCAAAATAGTCATAGAAAATCTGTTACACATATTTTTTTCTCTTAGTTTTGATGTATTGCTGTTTTATTGGACAGTGCTGGCTCCTAAACTACTATTTACACCTTGAATCACCTTGTTGTTGAATTGTGCTATACAAATAAACTTGCCTTGCCTTGCCTACAATGTGCTGATTTTAAAGCGGTAAAATGATCCGTTCCCGTCCTCTCACCTGTTCCAGGGAGGATGATGCAACAGCCTTGAATCACTTAGTTATAAATCTGTCCATCCCTTAAAGACAGGAACATGGGAAAGATTAGCTAAGAGAGAAGATATTTTACAGTTTGTCCTGCTGATAAAGAGCTCCATTATGACCATTCATGCTACACCAAAGTAATGAAGTAATAGATAATAATAAATAACAGTTAACTTCCTGTTTTTTCACCATCTACTACTGGAATGTCTGTTTTGGATTGTTTTTGTTCATAATGGGCCAACAGTGAAAAAATAATCCTTTCATTTTTCGTTGTAATTCACAAATACTTTCAGTTTTATAATTAGAGGACATCCCGGGAAATGAATGAACAGAAATATTCTCCAGTTTTACACATTTATTTCTTACAATTTTCAGCCCTAAAATTTGTAATGATCTAATTTCTCCATAAGCATTTCATTTTGTGCAGAAAAACTGAGATGAAGTGTACATTTTGAATTTCTTTTTTCCGATATAAAGATATATTTGAGAGTAAATGAGTAGTTAAACTTCTTTGGGCTGATAGAAAAAGTAGTTTCACCAGTCCGGCCCACCTAAGAACAAAGTGGTCCATGATTTAAAATGAATTTGACATCACTGTCCTGAAGTAACCAAATGACTCATCGGTCTTCAGATTCTTTCTTCACATTTAGCATACGATGAGTATGGTATAGCACTATAAGACGATCACTCTCTGAATCCACATCTCAAAAGATAATTTGCTTCGTTTCCCAGAACTCTTCACCACTGACAACAGGGCATTGTTGCTTTGCCAGAGTAGTTGAAGGGGTATTAATTTCTCAAGGAAAATAGCCCTCATTGTTAAAGGTGTGCCGCTAGCACAGTTTAATCAGACAGGAACTTTAATTACATGAAAATAACTGAAATAGTATATGCTGTATTTTATTATATGTGTAATATCTGTTGTTATTTAAATACCGCTGTAAACTGGGGTTATTGGGGATGGGACAGAAACAAACAAGATTTTAAGATTTTTTTTTTCCTGCAATCAGAATCTACAATTGAACAAGAAACCAAACAGACAATTAAACACCCGCAACTCAAGTCTTCAGTCTGTAAAGTAGGCCATCATTGAAACGGCCTGTAAATATAGATATCGGGTGTTAGATCGGCACATGTCCACTATATCAGGTAACCGACTTTGTACTTGTGGGGAGACAACATTTAAAAATAGACTCACACCCCGAGACCGCCAGCTCTGCCTATGCTTGTACTGAAGTCCTACATCATAGGTCTATATTCTCAACCATACGGCTATCAAAAGGGTACGTACTACTTGCATGGCTGGAAATCCCCCCCCACCTCACCAGATAGACAACTGTTTTAATGCCTGGAGTAATAGTTATACTTGTATCCTTTATGATTCACTTGTGTCATGACTTGTTAGACATTTGTTTGTGGCTTTCTTTGGAATGGTAAACGTGGACAGTCACACTTCATGTGGATATGTGGACGCATAAACTCCGCTGTGCTACACGATACACAAGACACGCTTGGTTATTTATTATTATTATTATATTATTTCGGTTTTCATCTCCCTCTCATTTTTAATGTGTGACTGTCAGGAAACTCTTACATTATCAGGCAGCCTGTGCTGATATTATCAAAACTTTGTTCAAAAGCTTTTCAGGCAAAAAATTGAAAATAGATGCAGCACACTTGGGGAGGTTATTTGGCTGAGGTTGGTTTTATTTTGAAAGATCCACAAGAAGAATTCAAACCCAAACACATTTACATTACGCCATTCAATCCTGCCACCAAAACTGCTTTGAATTGCATGTGCAAGAGTGAAATGTGCTGTCATATCTTAACAAAGTCTCAATATGGGGTTAAGAAATGCACGACATGACACAAGAAAAAATTCAATTTACTTTGGTTGGTATTAAGGTCATTCATCAAATTAACTGGCTTTATTGTGATACAGAAAAATAATATTGGTGATTTTTTAAAATGAATTTTTTTTTCTGTCTAAAATCATTGTGAAATCAGTTTCAAATATAAGTTTGTCAATAAACTCAGAGTAGGTAGGATTTGAATTTCATAGTAAACATCTGAGGTGGAGGGCTGTGCGACGTGTCCTTCCGTGCAGCAGGAATGAATGTGACAAATGCAGGTCACGGGTAAAGATGTTCTGGTATTTTTCCAGTGTCTGTGCCACTACCTCCCCTCCAGAAATCTTGTATATCAGTGTGCATGATTTAAAGTCTCCACCATCAACACTTCATATATTGCCCGCTGCACGTGTGTCGGATTGTCTGCAATGGCATTTTAACGATGCTAAAGTCACGTAGAGACACCAAATAATTGCTGCTGTAGTCTGAAAAATAACAGTGAGGTATTGCTGTACAACTGAAATTGAAATTAAGATGAATGTGAAGGGGCTTAACTAACTATACTATAGCAATAATGATATTAGATACAGACCAGAGATGGTACCTTCCCTGTAGCTTCATGAACATCAGGTATCAGGTTAGCAACAATCATTACATTTTTAATTAACTTTTTTTGTTTTCACAAAGAATCCTAACTTTGCACCTTTTGGTTCGTCAAATAAATAGTATATTGATAATGTAGTCAATGCACATTTCACCACCACTTGACTATTCAAGAAAATAGACTTTAGAGGTTACAATCTTCCACTGGCAACAAGAAAAGCATCACGAGGCAGACTTCTTTATCAGCAAAGAAGTAATGGCAGGAAGGCTTCCCGTTGATAAGATATGTCAAGTGTGTCTTAAACGTCCTTGAAATAGATGCAACATGCCTCTGAATGAACCATCTCCTGCTGCTTAGATAAGCAAAATGCAAACTGACAGCTGAAAGGAGATAGTAGCTTTTGCTTCAGATACTTCAAGGAAGTAAATTCAAACATAAGACTCAAGCCAGAGATTCTCTTTCACATCTTAACTGTTTATTTATTTGAATTTTATGCTAACCTCGTGTGTCACTTTGCAGATACTGAATTAGATAAACAAGAATCCAAATGTACTCTGGGATGGAATAATGACAGAAGACAAAACTTTGTCGGCCTCATGTTGCTGTCAGTTTTTTTGACAACCTCCCCGAGACGCTCGACTAGAAGTCCCCATGGACGCGTCACTTCCTTGCGCAGACAGCCAAAGTCAGCCGGCTCTGACAGAAAGTCAGACTGTGGATTTTGACTCGGTTATGCACAGCCCCTCAGTAGACAAGCTGTCTGGAACAGAGACTGCGCACTGTCTTTCAGACACCACTGATAACTCCACACATCCACATGTTTCTGCAGACCCACACAGCCTAAAGTCTTTATCGTCCATCCAAAATGTATCAGAGCAGTTTTCGCTTTCCTCAGAGGCTCCACCAACGGATGACAATTCCAGGGTTCAGCGCTGTTTGAGCCAGTCAGGAAGGAAATCACCTCTAATACGTCAACTCTGTCAGGACCTCATTTTACCTCAGTCTGAATCTGCTTCATCTCTTCTCATGGAAGGACATACTCCACCTGAATCTTTTGGGGCTGTGTCACTCACACTTGAAGGTTTGATGGAGCAGTCTGTCACTGTCCCCTACTCCAGTCCCAATTTCAGCTCTGAAAACAAACCTCCATTATTTAGGTCGTTATCACCTCAGTCAGACAGTTCAGATAGCGATATGGCTGTAGCGCCTTTGTCAGATCTTTATATCTTTGAAAGTGACACGCAGGACTTCATTGTAAGCCCAAGTATAGCTCCCGGTGAGATTAAATGTTCTGAATACCAGCCATTATCACAAACAAGTGTGGAACAAGTGAACCGTGACTGTGATAAACATATACTGATGTGTGATTCATCAGACGTGACAGGATGTCATCACAGCTCTTGTGAGGAACAATCCACAGAGAATAATGAGCCAGATGTGAGTGAACACTTGGGGCTAAGAACACCTGCTGTAGATGCTTGTGAGGAATACTTTATGTTTCTAAATGATGAGAGAGAAGGAGAAGCAGAGGTCACTGGAGCAACCCCGCAGCGCGGCAACAGCCCTATGGAGGTCTGGCAGGACGCACATCAGTATCTGGCTGGTGATGATACAGAAGATCGGGATGTTTTGCATCACTCTGTGATCCAAGAAGCTCTCTCTCCTGCCAGTCACTTGTCGTGTTCCCCAAGAGAGACACAGGTTTCACATTACAACCCTGAAGGTAGCAAGGGGATTGGCTGGACGGGCGATGACACCAAAGGTTGGGGGCCACCAATTGAGAGGTGGTCATCAGTAGACAGCTGGGCAAGTGCACTCTCAGATTGGACTGGGATCATTGTAGCTCCATCAGAGGACTTCACATCAGCCTTTTCAGAAATAGGGGCTGAAATAGATGCATTGACACAGGCTCTATCAGAGGTAAATACTCATACAGAAGCAGAGACTGTGAAAGAAGGACACAATCTAGAAACAACAGCTAAGGCACAAATGGGCGTGCAGGATCAACCTCTAAGTGCACAAAACATCTCAGAGAGCTCCATCCACTCTGGGCAAGGCTGTCTCTCTTTGTACCTCAACTCTACAGGACTTGAACCCCATCACACAGAGGGGGCTGAATCCTTCTGCGATTCAACACCCACCACACAGGGAGACAAGTGCTCCCCATCCAGAGGTGCACCTGGTACAACGGTGGCCTCTTCAGGAGAAAACACAGCAGATGCAACTGTGGTTACACTGATGCCTGGATCTACTTCTGCTGATCTGGACCTCTCTCCGTTTGATGAATGTGCAGAGTCCCAGGACACAGAACGTTTCATCATCGATGAAAAAACCCCAGTCGTACTGAGCATAATAGAAGATACAGATTTGGACCCTCCTACAGATTTAATAACCAAGGAGGTAAGATGATAGATCTTTGAACACTTGAGAGGTAAAAGTTTGTGATCAGTATGAAGTGAAAACATGAACTATTACAGAATATTTTGCAGTCGTGCTTGGGGGATGTGTGCAACTCTTTCCAGTCTGTCTGTTTGCATGATGGCCAACAGCATCGTTGGCCAGCAGACAAATCAGTCATGCCCTTTAGAAACACAGGCACAAAGTTAAAAAACATTCCTGCTCTTGTCCTTGTCGGCGTTGTCATACCTCTAATATCACTAAGCCAGTCATGAGTTGCGCTGAATATAAAATCCACGTATGTCACCACACACCAGGCTCGCGAGCATTGTCGGCTTGCTTTGGATTGGAGCCACTCAGTTTGCAACCAAGTCCTTGCACCCACAGCCTTGATTGGATAAGTCGTTTGGCTCCCAACCTCAAAGACTGACAGCTGTGGGTGCTGAGGGAAAAATGAGTGCCTAAGAGGAAAACTTTGGATTGACAGAAATGGCACCTAATAATAGCTGAGAGTCCAGTGATAATAGCATGCATCCTTGGCGTGTCAGGATGAGAGGAGAGCACAGCTGAAAACTGAAACACGACCCTCCATTGCCCTCTCTCTATTTGTACGCACCCTTTGACACACCCATTTCCACCACATCTCCTTTAAAAAGCCACGATCAGGACCCTGACAGGTTCTTGGGGCCAGGAGACTGATTTTGGTTGACTTAGAGGTGCAATCGCAGCTGGAGGTACAGTCTTTAACACTGACAGTCAGGGTTCCAGTTGCATGCAGGACATATGGACTGGTGGATTGGGTATAGAAGCATGGTGTTTTATAAACATCTGATTTTTGGCTCTATAGAAAGGTACGTGCTAAAATAACAAATATCTGATCAGTCTTTAGTGTAATTGCCTGATACTGAACCCTAAGGCAGTATATTAACAGCACTGTTACAGTGTTCTGTGTTTGTCTATGTGCAGCCATAAAGGAAACTGAAAGAGAACTTTTTTTAATTCTCAGTTTAACACTTTGTTGTTCTTTGTCCTTTTCTCTATCAGCCTGTTGGAGATAGACTGTGTGAAGTGACAGATGATCACAGGCTTGTCCAGCTGGGCTCAGTGGCCGAGCCAGAAGCTAAACTGAGCTGTGGGCGATCAGAAGTCAATAGGGATGAAAACAAATCAATAACAGATTTTAGTGTCCTCACCGAGGACGCTCTGACAAACTCAAACGTGCCAGGTGGAGACACACAACCTGGCCTGCATTTTAATGCGGACAACTGCGTGTCTATTGGCACGTTGCCAGACCTTGATAGAGCACGTCAGGTGGAGGCGCAGAGGGACAGTCCCACATTTATTATGCCCTTAGCTCCAGTCAGTATTGGCCCTTCCCTCAACTGTAGGACAAGCAGCAGTTTGGAAGGTGATCAGATTTGTTTGAAAGGCTCTCTCAATAACAACAGTTGCAATCAAGTAAGACAGAGTGCTCTCTTGCCAACCCCGGATGGAATTACTAACAAAACATCTCTGGAAGGCGGTGAGGAGTTGATTCATGAAAAGCAGAATACAACAAAGACTGCTGAGAGATCTTCACCAGAAGGACTACAAGACTTGAAAACTAGTGACACTATAGACTCTTTCTTTTCTAGAAAGACAATATTTGAGGAGATTGATGACTTCAATAGGGAACTAGAAAACTTCATCCCTATCCACGCTGAAAATCTCTTCATTTCAAACGAGAAACACATTGCATGCATCACTTTAGATATTTATGATCCATTTGTCTCCAAGCCCGTAAAACCCAAAGCTATTAAATCGGAGAAGACTGATCTGACTCATAAAAAGACTGAAAAGATGTCTCACAAAACCCACAAGAACACCTCAGAGGGAAAAACACGATCCAAAAAGGATAAATCAGCCGGTCATCATCATTTCACCCAACCTTCCAAAAAACAGGAAAGCAAATGTCACCGTGTTTCTGCTCAGCAGACCTCCAACCAGCAAGAAACTCACCCTACTATTGGAGAAAATCATAGCAGTGAGAACAGTCAATCTGGACTTGAGGCCAAGGAGGCTACATTGGTTATTGAGACAGGTGTAACCGAGAAGGCAACAAGCAAGCCACACGGCAAGAAGAAAAAGAAACATGGTCAGAATACAGCGCCGGGGGAGCCACTGGCTGAAGTGGAGAATGGAGCAAAATCAAAGACTGCAAAAGGAAGAATCGAGCTGTTCGAATCTAAGTTGGGTGCCAAAGCTGGCAAAGCTCAAAAGGAAAGCGAACAGCCAGATGTAGCCGAAATAAAGTCCCAGCAGCAATTGGAGGCTAAAGCGTCAGAGGGAGAACAACCTCCACATCCCACAGACGATAAGGGCCACCAGCCAAAGAACTTTACAAGTCCTCTGAATGATGATGTGGTTAAAAGGCGACGTCTGTCAGAGGATAAGTTTGGGAAGATTGTGAGCATTTTGGAGTCTAAACTACCAAAGTCAGATGTGTCAGCAAAAGGAAAGGAAGCTGAGCTCAAGACTGATGTTGGAGGAACTCGTAAGAAGGCGTACAGTGAAGTGGTCAAACAGAGGATTCCACCCAAGGAAGGTACGGGAATTGATTAAACAGCTAGTCCTCTGCATGGAAACACATAGTTCACATGGCATTATTAAAGCCTATCATAATATCTGCAGAGCCCAAGGTGGTGAAGCCTATACAGGCAGTGCCTGTGAGCGGTGACCCCCAGAGTCTGTGCCTGTGGTGTCAGTTTGCTGCTGTAACCTCGGCCTACACTGTGACCTGGAGCAGAGAGGGTACTGTCCTGGCTGAGATGAAAAGAAGGTAATTCATATGACTTTTATGTCATTTTTAGCAATAATAATGTCCTACCGAGCTGGTTTAGCTTCCCTGCAGCTGCTTTGTATCTGCAAGCTGCTTTGCAACCCACAGGGCGTGTCTGTTTTCTTCTACTGAGTAACACTGTCCCTTTGTCTGAAGTGCAGGGGATGAGAGCAGAGTGACCCTGACCATCAGCAATGCTTCTCACAAAGATCTGGGCAAGTACCTCTGCCAGCTCAGCAGCTTACATGGCTCAGTCAGCTTGGACTACCTGCTCACATATGAAGGTAACAAAAAAAAATTTAGCTCATTTTTGAAAGTGAAAATGTTTAAAATGTTTACATGATGTACATAAATGAAAACTACATTTTTTATTTTCCCTGTTATTTCACAGTGCTCAGTGAGGTTGTCATCCCCCTGGCTCCAAAAACCACTTCATGTGAGTTAAGATTTAGGAGCATGTTACTTTATACAGCCGAGCTTTAAAAAGAAGACCCTAGATGTAATATTCTGTCTGTATTTTTTCCTCCCCAGCTGACCCTGTTGAGGTTAGCAGTGAAGAAGAGGACGCCCATTTCTCCAGACTCTTGTTCAAAGACGATTTCTTATCCGATCAATACTTTGGAGACAGCCATCCTATCAGTATGATCACCGAGAAGGAACACTTTGGGGAGGGCATGCATCGGCGGGCTTTCCGGACCAAGCTGCATGCGGGTCAGATACCCCTGTTACTGCCAGGTCACTCCTGTGTGCTCAAAGTGCACAATGTTATCAGCTATGGGACCAAGAACAATGACGAGCTTGTTCAGAAGAACTTCACCTTGGCTGTGGAGGTACGAATATCACAATTAGTGTGTAGTAATTCTTCATGGCTCAAGGAGTAATTATGAGATTATAGAAGACTGTAGGAAAACAGCCTTCAGCTCACTACGCCCTCGCTAACTCTCCTGATGATATCTAGCCTCTGTCACTAGTTTCAATTTTACTTTCAATTTACTTTTAATTTTTAATTTTACAAAGTAAAACATGAGGCTAATGTTGGAAATTACGGTCTCCATTAGAGTCAAAAAAGAGGACAAAGCAGATCATATTTTAAGGTAATTGCACCTCATTAGAGAGGGTGCATGGGGAGGGGTTGGTGGCTGTTGGAAAGATGACACTGCACCAAAAACCTCCTTGTGATTGCTTTGGTTGTTAGCATATTGGTGCAGTCACCTGTGGTTTGCATGGAAGACACTGACTTGTCTGCAAACACTTGCTAAGCTCTAGCCATGCAGTGGCAAACCTTGAGAAACTACAACATGAACCAGAATCAAAGTAAACGTTGTGTCTCAGTGCTGCAGTTGGCATGTTTGCAGACATGTTAGCATCTTCCATGTTATCATGTTAGAACCGTAGCAATCAGCCAGCGATCGAATCAGTCAAAAGAAGGTTTATGTCAACTGACTGGTGAACACATTTTCTCTCTAGCAGCTGTGGTTGTTAGGAGCTCACCGACTAATCTCTAAGCCTTTGTTACTGGGGCTATCAATCTGAGCAACCACTCACCAGCTGGTTGGAGCATACCTGTTTTTCCCTAATGACCCGCGGTTCCCCTATGCTTTTAGACCATTCTTAAGTGTGGCTGGGGCCTTAGTGATGTGACTCTACACTGTCACACGTCCACTATGGTGGCCAAGTTAGTTATCGTTAGATATCTGACTGCAAAACCTAATTTGGACTAATTGTGTCCAGTTTCAAAACAGTAAGGTAGTGACAGTGTTAAAGCTCAGGGTGAATCTTCATAACAGGAACTCAGTTACATTTTATACACAGTCTATATATGATTAGCTTTATGGTTGTTGCTATCATTTTTTGTTTTGGAGACTGAAGTGACTCTTGACTGTGAGGGAGACATGCTAGGTAGCACTAGCACATTTAAATGTGCTGGTGTGTGGTCTAGCAGCTTAAAACAATTGTTTTAAGCTGCTAGACCACACTTGAGTTTCAATCACCAAACACTGCAAAACGGACCTCTTGGGCCAGCTTTAACTGCAGTTAAGCCCCAGTACACCACAGTATTTGACAGCTAATGGTGTATTTAGCACATACCTGTCACTCAAAGTGGCCATTCTCTCAATATTGTAAACTTTAAGCCTTAACGAAAGTTAAACAGCACACTTTTATAACATCTATAAGCCATAAAGGAAAGATCAAAAGTGCTCTTTTACCAGACTACAAAGGAAGTTTTACTTTTGTCTTCAACTACATGCATCATAATGACAGTATTCTTATTTTACAACTCCAAAGTGTCTGTAATAGACAGTATGCTGTTCTACAGAACATACTGCAATTTTTTTTCTTTGTATGTGTGTTAAAAGTTGGATTAAAAGATAAAATTCTCACCAATTGATTCAGTTCACTTCATTCTGTTTCATTTTATTATTTTATTTATTTTTAATGGTCTGCAGGAATGCCAGGTCCAGAACACAGCAAGAGAGTACATCAAAGCTTACACTTCTGCTGCTCAGTCCACTGAAGCCTTCGGAGACATCCCAGAGTGAGTGACACGTTTGATAAGCTCGTTATAATTTCTTCACTACATTAATTCGCTTTTAACCGGATACACTTTTTTTGGGGCATTCACCAGGATAATTCCCATCTACCTGATTCACCGTCCGTCGAATGACATCCCCTACGCCACGCTGGAAGAGGAGCTAATCGGGAACTTTGTTAAATATTCAGTCAAGGATGGCAAAGAGATCAACCTGATGAGGCGTGATTCAGAGGCAGGACAGAAATGCTGTGCTTTCCAGCATTGGGTTTACCAAAAAACCGACGGCAACCTGCTGGTTACTGACATGCAAGGTCAGGGAAACAATTAAAATAAAATTTTTAAAAATATGTTTTTTGTGGGAACTATTTCTTTGCAGGTTAGAAATCTAAACACCTATGTGATTTGTTGCTTTTCAGGAGTTGGCATGAAGCTTACTGATGTGGGAATAGCCACCTGTAAGAAAGGGTGAGTATGTACATTTTTTTGTGACCAAAGATACTCTACGTGCAAACTGTGATTTTGAACTAACTGATCTCTTAATGTTATTTATTTTCTTTGTAGATACAAGGGATTCAAAGGAAACTGTGGCACCTCCTTCATAGACCAGTTTAAGGCCTTGCATCAGTGTAATGTGTACTGTGAGATGCTAGGTCTCAAATCCCTGCAGCCCAAAGCCAAAAAGCCAGCGTCTGCTCCAAAACCCAAACCCCAGAGCTCCACTCCACCCAAGAAGAAAACATTTGGGCCAGTAGTTAAGGGGAAGTCATAACAGGAGGAGAATGCTGGACTAAGAATTTGATTATGAATTGAATCTGTTACCTTTTCTTTTTTTTAGTCATTCGTGTGATTCACGTTGGACTGAATACTGCAGAGTTTGGTGGACAGTTTCTATAAACTTTTTAGATTTTAGGAGACCTTTTAAAGGTAACAAATGTAGCACAAGCTGGGGCTGACGAGACTGTTGATGAACTGATGAGCGAGGAACGATTTCTTCTTGTTTTTCTACTCCTGGGATATTTTCAAAATATTAGTTCATTAAATTAATGGACTTTTTATTGATTGATTAGAGGAAATGTCTTTAAGTTAGGTTGTATGAATGGGTGTGGGTTTGTTTTGTGCGTGTGTTCGCTTTGCAAACTGGCAAATAATTGATGAACATGTATCCAGTTTAATGTTACATTATATTTGTTCATGTAACTGATTTAGAATGACATCATGATCCTACTCTGGACACAAAACAAAGACATTTTTACCCATAAAGTTGATGTATCACTTGAATGTATGTAGAAGTGTGAGCCGTTGTGAGCATCTCTCAGCATTTCTAAGTTAGGCTTTAGTGGTGTAAAAGTCCTCCAGCTACCCACATTCAGTGCATGTATAGGGAAAGGCACGCAGAGTGAACCCTATAATACCACATTCATCTGACATCGAGAGGCTTTACGATCCCAGGAATATTCCAGCTATTCAGCTGCAGTCTAAAACAGTCTTTATACATTATGCCTCTGATCACTCCTCACGTCTACCTTTCAGACCCTGACCCACATTGCTGGCATGGCACTCAGGTTGCAAATGTTTAATTTCTTTCACATATGTGTGGTAGGACAGGTGAAAGATGTTGAGTCAACATTACTAGAAGGAATACAAATTCCTGCGTATGTTTGTTCACCGCTTGGTCTTGAAGGCATCCGTGAAATGTGAACATCTGTCAGCAACAGATCAAAAGCACTTTATTTATGGTAAACAGAGACAAATGTGCAATAAACTTTACATTTACAAAGCTGGCATCAGTAGTAGTAAACCAAGGTCTGTTTTAAGGTCTCCAGCAGCAAATTAGCACCTTCAATCCAAAAAGAAAGTGGGTCACACTCAGAGGCTCAGCATCACATATGATGCATAAACACACCAAATGTCTATTTCCATCTCCTGCCCTGGTGCAGTGTGCACAGAGTCATTGGCACAGCTGATATACAGTCTTGCTTTACAGTTTGTACAACAGATTTAATAAGAGGATTAAAATTTAGAAAAAAAAAAAACAAAAAAAAAACCCACACACCACAAACACAACAACACTTAAACCCAAAAGTGAAGGGGTACATCGAGGGGCTTTTCACACTGTAGCTATTTAGTGTGATAATGGCGTTTGACGAAAAGGAAACAAACACCATTGTCACACTCCACAGCTCTGGAGGACAAGGTTTTCTGCAGACAGAGGCGCTGTTGGTGCAAAGTGATTGATGGGTGACCTGGTGAAACAGAGGGGGGAAAGAGCAAAATCAGGAAAGAAAAATCCAGATTAAGTGAATTGTGCAGTTTATACTTGGCCAAAAAACCAAACCCAAAACAGATGTTGAAGCAAAAAAAAAAAAAAAAAAAAAAAAAAAAAGCCATAGTGTCATGTAAATATTCTAGGCTTATTCAGCATGTTCAAAGTCCAGTCTAGTCGCTCTCCCCCCCTCCAACTGATTGTAGGGATGACTGCAGCTGTGTGTGTGAAGGAGACAAAGAAAGACACCCATGTGAGACTCAATTACCAAGTTTGCCTTAACGTCTTTAAAATGAAGAAATTAAAGACTGGGTCAGGCTGCATGCCAAATGAGCTTGAATGAGTTTTCAGTCTACTTTTAATGTTAAACACATCTGAGCTGAATCGGTACAGGGGACGGTCCCGAGCTCTTTACAATTTAAACCGTTCAATCATTAAGCTTCAGACCTATTGGAGGGAAATGTCTACTCACCTTAATTTTCAAAAGGTCTTTCCAGATTCATTTATACTTAATAGTTGCACTTTTCCCTGCAGTTACTCTTCTACTCTCGGTCTTCCTGCTCATGCCAGTGTCGCTTTGTTAATGCCAGTTTTAAGTCCAGTAGAGCGTCCGCAGCTGCAGGTTGGTGAAGTGATCCGTGGTGCATTTGGGTTCAGGGCTGTCCCATCCAAGTCTTTATGTAGACAGAGCAGAGTTTGGACAAACAGCCAGTTGCACATTAGTGATAAGCTACGGGGGAAGTATTGATCGACCCTGACCAGAGGTAGAAGGTGGAGGGGAGACTTTTTTTTTTTTTTTTTTTAAATACAACTGTTCAGGGCCTTAATCAGGATTCACTGAAAGTCACTGTGAGCTCAGCAACAACAAACTTAAGACAGGTGCTGCTCCCAAACAGATAGCAGTTTGGTGGAAATGAAATTTCTTATTTTTGTTGGAGGTAGGAATCTAAAATACTCGTAATGCCATGTGCCGTTTCACATGTTCTAAATTTTAAACACCAAAGTTCCTAAGAGTTTATTCATGATCAAAAACATCAGTTCTAGGGTCACAACTTAATCTGCAATAGCTGCCAGGTGAATGAACAGTTAATGGCTAAACCACACGAATCCCACAAGTTTCAAATGTCACAAGAGTTAGCTAAAAGTAACTTGCTGCAATAGTTGAGTTATAGATATGGCTGGTACTACGGCCAGAAATGTAGATTATATTGAAACGGATGCTTGAAGTGGAGAGGAGTTTGAAATTGTTTTAAAACCAAAAATGAAACTGAGGTTGAATTAATTAAGATAACAGACAAATGGAGAAAGTACTTGTTTATAATGTTAAATATAAAACCTACATGTAATTAGATGTAATTCATACATTTTTTTTTTTTTTACCAAACTGAGAATAACAGCGTGCATGAATTTGACAGGTAAACAAAGGCCTGTATGACACTGAAAACAGCTTTACATGAAGGGTCCAGTGTTTCACTCAGAAACAAGTGTTTAGCCTGAAATCAAATCTATTAAAAGTTCGTGTACCTACAAGAACAAAACAAACCTGTTTCAATAGCACCTGTGATTTTTATTTATTATTAAGTGAGTGAAAGCGTTTATAAGGAGGAGCTACAGGAGAAAAGTTGGCTTTTGGTTTGTTTGTGACCAGATTGAGGGTAGGAGGGCTTGATAAAATGTCCCCGGACTGGCAGGGTGGCTTTTATTTGCTCGTCCTTGAAGCTGATAACTCTTAGATTGCCTGTGTGAATGAACTGAGGTCCCTTTACCGCCCACGTGCACACACAGAGAAAGATGGTAGTAACTTTCAAATATTTGTCAATGCAGACAAATTTTCTGTTAAAAAAAAAAAAAAAAAAGCAGCAGCAGCATAGATACCTGGAAATTGAATTTAAATAGTTAGAATTGAAGAATGTAGGTGGGGAAAAAGGTGCAGCAGCAGCGCTCCATCTGGGATTACAAAGATTTCTGAAAACTTGTGTGAGTGAAGTAAGTTGGCAGAAGTGCAGAACTAATACACTTTAAGAGACGGTCAGTCATTTTTGAGGAAGGTCAACAAATGAGTTAAAATACATACAATAGGGAATAAAAATATAGGTGCATTTTTATCCACCCAAATTTCTATGAACGATCAGTCAGTAATAAAGTTAGACAAAGTCTCTGAATGCATGTTAAAAATACACTCACCAGCCCCTTCATTAGGTACACCTCTTCAGCTGTTGATTGACACAAATGCCTAATCAGCAATGGCAGCAGTTCCAACGCTTTAGCCAGTGGTTTGATTTCTGATCTGTTTTTCAGTTCCTTTAGGTCATGCCATGATGCTTTTCAAGGTCTTTTACTCTACTTCACTTTGTCAGACAGGTTCTATTTAAATGATTTCATGATTGAGCAGGTCTGGCAGTAATCAGGCCTGGGTGTGGCGAGTGAAATTTAAATCAGCTTTGCAAAAAAAAAAGAAAAGAAAAAAAAGAAAAGAAATGTTAGTAAAGTGTTCGTGTCATTAATTTGTTTCCACTTTAGGTTAAGAGAACTCATTTTCCTTAATAAATGAAATCATTATTTAAAACTCAAATCTGGAAGGCAATCAGTTTTACACACACTGCACATTTGGGCATTTAAAATGTAGTTGTAGTTATGGCACGATTAGACAAAGTACCAATTACACTGAATAATCCTTACTATTGTAATTTATTATATTTTTACAGTTTTTGATTCATTATTGATGCAAATTGCAACTTTGAAGCACAAAAGCTCAGCAAACTTTCATTTTCAAGGGAGTCGGTGTTATGGAGGACTTAAGTCATACGACGCCAACCTTTCATATTTATAAGAAGCATATGCACTACTATAGAAAGCAACCAAAAGATTTTGGCTGACGATTTATCCTAACTTTACAGGATGCTCATGCACTTGAGCAGATTTCTCCAAAGGGGCTTTATTGAAACCGTAAACAGTGTCCGTTTCATGGCTCTTCCACCTCGTTTTTAAGGAAAGTCGGATCTCGAATGATTAAACGACACAGTGAGTGAGAAGTCTGATTTTTATTTGACTGAAATTAAATGAACCACAAAGAGTTGCAGAAGTCAGCGAACTGTGAACAAAATGATATTAACCCTCATTTGTTTAAAAAAAAACAAACAAACAACAAAAACAACAAAAGCAAAACTGTACTGAGTCAGTCTGAGTGTTGGGATCATAGACTGGAAGAAACAGAAGGGAGGGAAATGTAGAGAAAGGGGACAAAGGAAGAGATAAAAGAATATAAAAGACGTGAAGGCTCAGCTTCATTTCTGTCAACTTTTTGGAGCAGCAGCCCAGATTTGCTTTGAATAAGAGGAGGGGAGGGGGAAATCACATTCAAGTAAATGACAAGAGACATAACAGGCGACATGACCTCAGAGTGATCTATAAAGTGCCCTTTAGGTTCAATAGTGTTAGAAAAAGAGAAACAAGATAGAAAAAAAGAAAACACTTCTTTTCTTTGTAAGAAACGTGCTGCTTTATATTCAGTGGGGATCACAGCTTTTCTCTCAAACATCCACGCGCGCACACACGCACAGCTTCATTTTAGTGTTGATCAGTAATACTTCTGTTAAATGTAATACATACATAAATTCATATAATCATGAAAGAACTTAAAATTGTTTTTAAATCTCCCCTCAAGTACAATTTACAGCATTATGAACAGCAACAGGCATGAGAATATTAATGTAATCGTGACGTCTCAGAGAAACTACCCCCCCTTAATTTTAAGTTTTCCCTCCCCAACTTCAAGATCAATTACACTTCCAAATTATTACGTAGCAAACACAAGATACAGTTTCATGCTGCTCTCAAAGCACTACAATAAAAACAGTTTTATTAAACACATTTGCTATCACTGTAACAAATGATATGGATTCATCATTTCCCAGACTAGCCAGATTTTCACTTCACACACCATGGCATATATAGTAAAGAACAATTGTTCATCAGTACAAATACACTGAGAGTACTTTCCTGGAAGAGTTATACCAAATGTTCAAAAGAAAACATGTTCCATGATGACAAAACGTTGCTTGTTTTTTGTTTTTTAAAGGAGAAAAAAAAAAAATTCCCATCTCTGGGAACTCATCCCCCATCTTTGAATCATTATTAGTGCCTGAAAAAAAAGAAAACATTATTCTACAAAAAGGCTGCATGGTGATCTCTGATCACACAGTGCAGACAAGGCTCTACGGAGGGGCGTGGCCAATTTCCTGAAATGTGATTGGCTAGCATTCCTAAGGTAATCTGGTGTTGGTCTAAGGATTTGAGAGAGTTGTGATCATAGTGCCGTTGCAGTTTCTTAGAGAAATAGTGCATGTAGAAGCCAGATTAAGGCCATGCGAAGCACCCCTCTGTAGAAGACGGTGCAAATACTGTGCTATAGTGTACATAAAGGAGCTATTGAAATGCATTGGTGTTTTCCAGCACTGTAGATTTTCACAGGACGAGGGTAGAGGGGGAAGAAACAGCGGATCAGGGGCCAGCTCCCATCATTCATTGCTCATGCCTGTGGATAACAGAATTCAGCATTCGAAACAGTGCGACACTCCCTTCCTTTCCCCAGCACCTTAAAAGGAGGGACCTACCCAAACCGAAAAGATATAAAGACGTAGGCATATTGGCTCGACAAGTCGCTGTACAGTCTCGAACCACCGTGCAGTGGAGGTGGCTCGCAGTCAGGCATTACAGTACAACATGCTTGCACAGAACTGCTACAGCAGCTGGTTTGACATCCCCGTTTCATTTTGTCTTATCGTTGGCGGGTTGGATGCGGTTGGAGGGAGCCGTTCTAGTCGACTCCCTCGAAGCCCTGCGCGTTCTCGACGGCCATCAGGAGCTTCTCTCTCAGGTCTTCAAATGATTCATAGGTGGGTAGATCCAAGCGGTTAAAACTGGAAAAGAAAAACAGGTAAAACAAATAAGGTAACATTTTAAATTAATTAATTACATTTTTTGGTTCTGTATGTGGCAATTTCATATCATCCACAGTGATCACTCAAGTCATTTTCATTTATATCGCACCAAATAGTTGCCTGGAGGCACTTTTTACTGTAAGTTAAAGATCCTACAGTAATTCAGAGAAAACCCAACCCCGTCTCATTATTAAAGTCCTACCCCACAGCTCACGATCATAGTTAAGGTTGAGAACGTAGATCGACCAGTACATCAACAGCTTCACTTCTTACCATGACAGACCAGTTCAATCTCCACATGACCATTGATGCACCACCAATCTGTCTGTCACATGAGATAATAGGAAGAACTGCAAATATGCAGTGAACCTCTGTACAAGACTTGTGTAAACCTTTCACATACAAAAGGGCTTCAAATACTATGGCAGTATATAAAACAGTGGCAATAGTGCTACACTGTAGTTGAGAAAAAAGCTCAAAAGTACGATTTAGCTCATACGTTCTCCTGCGTGGCTACAAAAAAAAAAAAAAAAAAAATACAAATTCAGTCCATGATGCTAAAGAGAAGAACACAGACCGCACACACTGAACACTGGACTGGACGACCGACAAACTCAAAACCAAGAATATTACTGCAGAGTTTAATTTGGTCAACAGGGGGCAAAAACATGAATGTCTTCACACTAGCTGGTACCATTCCCACATTTTAAAAAGATAACATGGTAAACAACCTTTAGCAGCTGCACACTTTTACCTTGCATGTGACAAAAACTCTGCCAAGCTGAGATTCCTGTCAGTTTAGCTTTAAGTGCCTGCTGGGACTGCCACTGAAAGTATATACGATTTTTTGCTAAGCACCACTGTGCAGTTTCACAGAGCTGCTAGCACAGCTGCAGACTCTCAGCTTTGTTGTTCTGTGAGTGTGTGCAGCAGTGACATACCATGTGTGAGCTCTTGGCAACTTATCTGGTGTTCCCCACTGCTCGATGGTGAACAGCTGAGGACCATTAGAACCTGGCACAACGGGAGAAACAATTATGATTCCACTCTTGATGCACACACGAGGACAAACTAAACCCTTTAAGACCTTGGCTGCAGGAAAGCCTTTGGATATTTACTGCAGTTTACATAAACATGTGTTTTTTGTTTTAAATGGAAATACTGGGTCAAGTAAAGCTGTACAAATAAATCGAAAACAAAGGATTTCTTTTAAACAAATCAATGTGACTTTTTACAACTTAGAAAGAGATGTCAAGATTTGCTATGTATGGAATTACATTTACTCAATGTGGTAAATGGACCACAATTTGTTAGAAAAGGATTTTTGTGACCTTGTTGCATCTTGTTCTGGCCGAGTATATGCTAACACTGCTACAAAAGTAGAAAACACCACACAAACACCAAACACGTACCATAAAGCTCAGCAAAACCATTCATGGGCACTCGTGATGTTCCAGTGACAAACTGGAGGAGTCGAATTCTTTTTTCAGCGTCCATCAGCAGGACAACCTGACGAGAGAGAAACGTTTCAATTTCCCAAAAGTCAACAACATTTTTCAATCAAAAAATAAATAAATAACACTGTCTTTATTAATGCTTTCCCATCAACTCAACACAAAATTATATTTGAGGAAAGTTTCTGCATATAGTTTTCCAATCTTGCCTTTGCGCATGTCTGTGTGGGGATGAAGTTTTAGATCTCTGGCATGAGGACATGGACGGTCTCACTTTGTGACCTTCAAAGAACTTCAAAGAACTGCTGGACTGCATTTTAGGATTAACAGTTAGTTATTAAACTAGTTGTTAACTAATTGGCAAGCGGTGAGGGTAGGTTTATGTCAACGAGTGTTCTTACAAATATATGCAGATTACAAATGTACATTTGAACACATAAAAAAATTAAAGGAAAAAGTGATGACACAAAATGAAACAGAAGCGGTCGAAGCCCTTAATCAGATGACACGACACAGCAGTCTCTGTGGCTGGTGTGTGTTTGCTGTGTGAGTGTGTTAACGCTCAAGTCAAGACAAATGATAACGAGGGGCAGGTACCACTTTCATCAGAGCAAACAAGCCTGTTCTTCCAAATAGACTTTGATCTTCAAAAACGAGGCCAGCAACTTCCACTCGCAGGCCAGATGGAGGGAAACGTGCTTTTATGATGAAACGTCCAGAAACACGTAGACTAACAAAGTTTAAATGGTTCTGCTGCATCCAGTTATGAGTCTCGAACTGTGTAACTGAGTAATGAGCATACCTTCCAGAACCACTGTATGACGGGATGATTGGGACAGTAGCCATTCTTGTAAACGGTGTGTTGTCTCCAGTCGTTGACGTCAACGTCACCCAGACCACACATGAGCAGCTACAGAGAGACGGAGGCAAAAGAAAAAGACAGCATTTACACCCGGTGCCACATTTTACCATAAAATAAACCCTTAACAGAAATTTTAACGAATCTTTCAGCTATAGCCTTAAATAAGTGGTTTAATATACGTTTCCCAGCAAGCAAGGTTACTTAAGACAGTCTAAAGATGACAAAGCAGCTTAAGAGTAGGTTAAAATATTCTCACAGAAGTAGTATATTGATTTAAAAAACAATTAATTTTACCCACTGGCTAATGAATTAAACTTTTCTTTCAGCTGTACTAGAAAGATATTCATACCTCCAGTTCGTTTTCGTCAAAGATCTTGATCAGATCTATTTGAATGAGCTCAGTGAAGCCCTGAAAATTAAACAAAAGGAATTATAATAACAAGTAAGCAGGTTTAGAAGAATTTAATTTCAACTCTTAAACTAAGTAATGCTAAAATAAACTGGTCCTTATATAGCACTTTTCCACTTTTCTATACAACAACCATTCACACAAGCACTTTTCTATGCTTTGTTTATGTAAGTGCTTTCTAGCTAACATTCACACACATTCATACTTGGAGTTAGTATCTTGGCCAAGGATATTAGGCATGAAGACTGGAGCAGCCAGCGATCGAACCACCAACCTTTCGATTAGTAGATGACCTGCCTCTTAGGCTCTTAGTTTACCTAAGCCTTTGGGGTAGCTAACTAAAAATCAGTGGCCACATTGCCCTCGAGTGGTAAGCATATGACTGTACATAAATACCTCCAAGAAAGCGTTCATCTGCTTCTGGACCCGATTGACAAATCTCCACTGAATGACGAGACTGACGGAGGGAAAATTCATATATTATTGTAGATGAGCAGATGATTGCAATTTTGTTTATAAACATGAGTCAACGGATGACATGAAAATCAAAATACTTACTCTATGTATTCCTTCTTGTTGTCATTGGTGACCACCATGTCTGAGCCACTGGGCTTCAAGTCAACCTGGTAGGTCTGAAGGATA